CAACGCTGACCGCCACCGCCGCCCAGTCACGTACCAGTCAGGGGATTACGTACTGCTCGACACACAGAACTTAAGACTGCCCGTCGTACCGAAATTACGACCCCGCTACTGTGGACCATTCCAAATCAGCCACATGATTACCCCAGTGACAGCTCACCTACTGTTGCCGACGGACTGGTAGATCAGCCCTTCGTTCCACGTCAGCCTGCTTCGCCCATACATCCCAACCACAAGCCAACTACCCCGTCACCGCCCGCCATCCATGACTCGCCCTGTATCGGAGCCTATCATCGAACCCGAAAAAATCCTGAGCCATCGGATTCGACACCCCACGGGAATCAGGAGGATTGAATTCCTCGTTCGCTGGAAGGATCCCACTCCAACTGAAGATAACTGGGTGCCCCTGGCCAACATCGAAAACCACCCTGCCCTGCAAGTGTACCTGAGGAGCCGGGGCTTCCGCGATATACACGCACTCGCGTAGCGGAGGGGGCTTCTTGAAGGGGGGGGTAGTGTAAGGAATTTTCTCGATATTCCTTAGCGCGCCCTGCAACATCGCGTACAGCAGCAGCCGTTGTTCGCCCGTTACTGCTAACGGGGCTTCGCCGACTTCGCGCGCACTGTTTCACCAAACCTCGCACTGCTGGCCTGGCCGTGTCGGCCTACGTTTCGGGACTAGCCCGAGCCTCGCTTCCAGCATAGCACTAGCTAGCTCGCACGCACCGCGTTACCGTTTGCATGTTTCGCGTATAAATGTTCGCTCATGCCTCGCTCACATTTTGTACTCGTTTGACACCTTAGTGCAATTCTCGCTACCTCGATTCATTGCACCCGTAACAGTTATGATGGGATGGGTGGGTGGGTGCACCTTTCACTAAATACCCATCAATATTGAAGGGCGAGATACTGTGGATTGTGTTGCCACCTGAAGGGACTGTGCTAGAAAGTGAAATCAAGTCCAGTAAGCACAGTACCATTCTTTTCCTAGTTTTTTTGCAAGTTGAAGCTCAGAGCGTGTTCCTACGGCCTCATATCAGGCAACCTCGTATCAGATTCGCGTCGAAACGCACTAAAACGCATCCAACCGCAGTTGAACACACTGAAACATTATTTAACCACGCGAAGCTGATACGAGATGTGTCTGATACGAGGTGTAGGAACACGCCCTCAGAGCACAGATGCGATTCTTGTGCCGCTGTTGAGGCAGACAAAGAAAACTGACTAGTCAAGGTCACATGCCCGCCCACAAAGCAAAGTAGACTAAACACAGCAGAACTGGAATGCACAACCTTTCAACAGCAGCACCTGGGCATGAGAGAGGCACCAGTTTCCCCTTTGAAGCTGCAGCAGATAGCAATGATAGACTAGCTAAACCACTAAGCATTCATCCCAAGTGGTTGACCCTCAGACACCCCTCAAGCTGACACTTGCAAAGGCCTTCCTCCAGGCGTCCCGCTCTTCCCCCCCTGCGCAGTGTTAGTCAGAAGGTGCGCCAAGCTACAGCCTCGTGAACCCTTCTCAACAGTAGAAACAGTGTACTAAATACCTGAAGCACTCACAACAGTACCAATACACATCCCACTCTGCCTTCTCTCTCCCTGCTCCCTCCCCTTGCTTTCTCCCTGCCCTCTCCCTGCCCTCCCCGCCCTCTTCCTGCTCTCTCCATGCCCTCTTCCTGCTCTCTCCCTGCTCTCTTCCTGCTCTCTCCCTGCTCTCTCCCTGCTCTCTTCCTGCTCTCTCCCTGCTCTCTCCATGCTCTCTCCCTGCCCTCTTCCTGTTCTCTCCCTGCTCTCTCCCTGATCTCTTCCTGCTCTCTCCCTGCTCTCTCCCTGCTCTCTCCCTGCTCTCTCCCTGCTCTCTCCCTGCTCTCTCCCTGCTCCCTCCCTGCTCCCTCCCTGCTCCCTCCCTGCTCTCCCTGCTCTCTCCCTGCTCTCTCTCTGCTCTCTCCCTGCTCTCTCCCTGCTCTCTCCCTGCTCTCTCCCTGCTCTCTCCCTGCTCCCTCCCTGCTCTCTCCCTGCTCTCTCCCTGCTCTCTCCCTGCTCTCTCCCTGCTCTCTCCCTGCTCCCTCCCTGCTCTCTCCCTGCTCTCTCCCTGCTCTCTCCCTGCTCTCTCCCTGCCCTCTCCCTGCTCTCTCCCTGCTCTCTCCCTGCTCTCTCCCTGCTCTCTCCCTGCTCCCTCCCTGCCCTCTCCCTGCTCTCTCCCTGCTCTCTCCCTGCTCTCTCCCTGCTCTCTCCCTGCTCTCTCCCTGCTCTCTCCCTGCTCTCTCCCTGCCCTCTCCCTGCTCTCTCCCTGCTCTCTCCCTGCTCTCTCCCTGCTCTCTCCCTGCTCTCTCCCTGCTCCCTCCCTGCTCTCTCCCTGCTCTCTCCCTGCTCTCTCCCTGCTCTCTCCCTGCTCTCCCCCTGCTCTCTCCCTGCTCTCTCCCTGCTCTCTCCCTGCTCTCTCCCTGCTCTCTCCCTGCTCTCTCCCTGCTCTCTCCCTGCTCTCTCCCTGCTCTCTCCCTGCTCCCTCCCTGCTCTCTCCCTGCTCTCTCCCTGTTCTCTCCCTGCTCTCTCCCTGCTCTCTCCCTGCTCTCTCCCTGCTCCCTCCCTGCTCTCTCCCTGCTCTCTCCCTGCTCTCTCCCTGCTCTCTCCCTGCCCTCTCCCTGCTCTCTCCCTGCTCTCTCCCTGCTCTCTCCCTGCTCTCTCCCTGCTCCCTCCCTGCCCTCTCCCTGCTCTCTCCCTGCTCTCTCCCTGCTCTCTCCCTGCTCTCTCCCTGCTCTCTCCCTGCTCTCTCCCTGCTCTCTCCCTGCCCTCTCCCTGCTCTCTCCCTGCTCTCTCCCTGCTCTCTCCCTGCTCTCTCCCTGCTCCCTCCCTGCTCTCTCCCTGCTCTCTCCCTGCTCTCTCCCTGCTCTCTCCCTGCTCTCCCCCTGCTCTCTCCCTGCTCTCTCCCTGCTCTCTCCCTGCTCTCTCCCTGCTCTCTCCCTGCTCTCTCCCTGCTCTCTCCCTGCTCTCTCCCTGCTCTCTCCCTGCTCCCTCCCTGCTCTCTCCCTGCTCTCTCCCTGTTCTCTCCCTGCTCTCTCCCTGCTCTCTCCCTGCTCTCTCCCTGCTCCCTCCCTGCTCTCTCCCTGCTCTCTCCCTGCTCTCTCCCTGCTCTCTCCCTGCCCTCTCCCTGCTCTCTCCCTGCTCTCTCCCTGCTCTCTCCCTGCTCTCTCCCTGCTCCCTCCCTGCTCTCTCCCTGCTCTCTCCCTGCTCTCTCCCTGCTCTCTCCCTGCTCTCTCCCTGCTCTCTCCCTGCTCTCTCCCTGCCCTCTCCCTGCCCTCTCCCTGCTCTCTCCCTGCTCTCTCCCTGCTCTCTCCCTGCTCCCTCCCTGCTCTCTCCCTGCTCTCTCCCTGCTCTCTCCCTGCTCTCTCCCTGCTCTCCCCCTGCTCTCTCCCTGCTCTCTCCCTGCTCTCTCCCTGCTCTCTCCCTGCTCTCTCCCTGCTCTCTCCCTGCTCTCTCCCTGCTCTCTCCCTGCTCTCTCCCTAGACGCCATGAGCAGCTGCTGCAGTGAGGGAGGAGAAGTCATAAGCAGGAGCCGCAGCAGCCACAGGGGACACAGGCCCTGCCGCGAGCACCCCCGGCGCTCCGCTGGCAAATCCTGGGCTGACATGTGGCATGCTAGGAGGCGTCATAGGCTGTGTGGAGTAACCGCCCGAGTAACCACTGTACGCTCCAGCAGTCGAAGCGGCAGCAGGGTTCAAGTAAGTGGCAGAGTGCATGTATGTTCCAGGGAACTGGGGTTGGGACATGGCATGTGCTCTGCTGAAATGAAGGGTTTAGGGGTTGGGGGAAACGAAGGGGGAAGTGAGTGGGTGAGTGTGTGTGGAAATATGGAGATGGGTGGAAGTACAGGAAAAAGAAGCAAGGAATCAAAGCGGTATGGATGTGGCAAGTAAAATGGCCAATCAATATGAAACAGCAGTTGACGAAGTTATGCCTTGGCATGGGGAAGGCATCGTGTGAGAGCAACATGAAATAGAAACGATGAAATGATGAATGTAAGTGAGAATGCACTGACCCTGCATGCATATGCATGTTGTACTGGGTCTGCAGCTGCTGCATCTGCAACCCCCCACCTCCCCCATGCCACATGGCATTTCCACCAGCACCAGCAGTTTGGCCCCATCCCCCTCCCGCTGCTGCCATATACTGTTGCTGCTGCAGCTGCTGCTGCTGCTGCATCATCATCATCATTTTCTGCTGCTGTTGCTGCTGATGCTGAGCGTAGGGGCTTGCCATGGGTGTCTGAATGACGACGCGCAAGCAGAGCAGAGAGGATAGCAGCAGAAGTAGGGACGAGGACAAGGGAGGCATGAGATGAAAAGAAGTTGGCAATGAGATAAAAGACAATGTCAGTCGGTAACCAATCAACAGATTACTGGCGTAAGGACGGAAAGGACACGGAAGTTCAGGAGGGCAGCCTGGGCAGGGAGGACAGGTAATTCGGGAGGGCAGGGAGGAGAACACGGACCTCGAACAGGCTGAGGATGTCTGATTTGGCACTGCCGCTGGTGGCTGTAGACATGGCCGGCATGGTGGTAGCAGCTGGTGCAACGGCTGTAGCGGCCGTAGCAGCAGCTGCAGCAGTGGGAGTGGTGAAGGACCAAGAACCAGCAGCAGTGGTTGCTGCTGCTGGTTGCACGGCAGAGGATGCCATGGTGGAAGGGGTTGTGTCTGTGGCACAAAGAAACGAGAATCAAGGAGAGGGGGAGATAAACGGCCGTTCATGGTGAGTCCGGTTCAGGTCATTCATTTGTTTCACTTGTTCACTTCCGCTGCACTTTCTTTCACTTCCCACCCACTGCACTTTCGATCACTTCCACTGCACTTCTTACGCTGCTATTTCAGATCAGTCATTTCTTGTTCCACCTGAAATTTCAGAAGCCATGCCGCAAGGGGGGCACGCTAATGGTGGTTCTGATAAGAGCAGAAAAGGCAGTCCATTCTGTCATGACCGTGGTGGTGCTGATAAGAGAAGGCGCATCAGTTTTGAGACATCTCAAAACAGCGACCCATACCTGAAAAGGCAGTCCACTCCGTTGTGATCGTGGTGGTGCTGGTAAGAGCAGGCGCAGCAGGAGCAGGAGCGGCAGCAGGAGAGGGATCGTTGAGAGAGAGGAGGTCAAAGAGATCAGCTGGTTCGCGTGGAGCAGCAGGCTGGGCAGGGGAGCGATACGGAGATGGTGCAGGGGAGGGGGTGGCAGAGGCGGAGGCTCGTGTTGGGGCTGAGGAAGGTGCGCTAGCAGCAGGAGCAGTAGCAGTAGCTGCAGCAGCGGCGGTAGTAGGAACAGGCTTGGCTGATGACTGAACACCACCGTGGTTGCGACCCTGTGGATTGAGTAGATGGGGGGGATAAGGGAGGGATGAGAGGGGGAGGCCGAAAAGGTGGGGGGAGTAAAAAATTGGGAGGGGAGGGAGGAGGGGGGAATGAGAGATGGCAGGTGCTCCAGAGGAAATAATGACTAGACTGCAAAAAACTTGTTTAGAACGACAACGTGTATGGCTTGGCATGGCTTGGCATGGCTTGGCATGGCACCAAGCACGCTGTCTGATCCCTCAGAGTTTGGTCTGAATGCACTGTTGCAGGCAGCTGTACCCCAAGCAACCACCTGACGTGATTCATTTTCTTCTCCTCTCCATCCAGGCCACACTCTGCCAGCCGAACGTACCTACTAACCCACTGAAGCTCAGCAACCCCAATGACCCGTACCGGCCACTTCAATAACAAACAGCCTCACCTCTCTCTCACTTACTCACTCACTCACTTGTTCGCTCACTTGCTCGCTCACTCGCTCGCTCACTCACTCACCCACTCACTCGCTCACTCACTCACTCACCACCCACTCGCTCATTCACCCACTCACTCACCTACTAACTCACCCACTCACTCACTCACTCTCTCACTCACCTCCTCACGCCTTGCTGCTGCTGCCGAATCAGCTCGTTCTGCCCTGTGGTGATGGTGGTGGTGGTGATGGCGATGCTGCTGCTGCTGCTGCTGCTGCTGCTGCTGCTGCTGCTGCTGCTGCTGCTGCTGCTGCTGCTGCTGCTGCTGTTGCTGCCCCGGACCCCCTTGCATCTGTCCCTCCCTCCCTGCACCAGCAGCAGCGGCACTGTTAGATGCGTTGGTGATTCGCGGGGGTTCAGACCCCACCCACCGCCTCTGCTCGTACCTGCTCGGCAATTCAAGAAACACAAGAACCACCCATAAGATGGTAAATCAAAAAGAGAAAGGATAGCAAGAAGGATTATACATCTACATAGATATATAAGAAGAAGAAGGGGGAGGGGTGGGGGGAAGGAGATATACAGGCAACCAAATCACTGGAAGGGAGGGAGGTGAAAGGGAAGAGGGCGAGAGGAGCAGAGGGGGAGAGGAGCAGAGGGGGAGAGGAGCAGAGTGGGACAAGAGCGGACAAGAACTTGGCACCTACTTGGCACGAATGAAACTCTCTAGGCCAATCTTGTCGTTTTCAGAGGGGCGGCGGAAGGAGGGCGGCAGACGGGCCTCCCAGTACGCGTTCGCCTTGGCATTGCCCATGGCTGCGATGGTCGGCAGGCGGGAGAGGAGAGCTTACACGAGTTGTCAGGAACATGGAAAGACAAGACAGAGCAGGCCAGGTTGCATGGACCATTGGAACACTTGAAAGGGTGAGAGCAGCAGCAGTCATTGCACATGGCTGGAAACTGAGAGCTGATTTTGAAAATTAACGGGAAGTTTCAGTGTGGAAGGAAGGTGCGGGCAGGCAGTGCAGAGGCGAAGGGGGTGAGAAGGAAGGGAGGATGGGGAGCGGAGAAGGACTTGGGGGAAGAGGGGGGAGGGACAGGGTGTGTGGGGGAGAAGTGTGGGGGGGGAAGAGTGCAACAGGTCGGATCGACTTGAGAAAAAAGATGAAGCGGGGAGGCTAAGGATAACGGTTACAAGAAAAGGTCAAAATAGAGGGGGGGGGGGGGGGGGGGGGGGGGGGGGGGGAATGAGAGGGAGAGAAATAGAGAGACCTTGCATGAATGCCACTTGGTCCGGTAACCATGTGTCCAGAGTGGCCGAGCGGACCTGGGTGCGAGGAACAACACAGCACAGCACAGCATGGCATGGCATGGCATGGCATGGCATGGAATAGCATGGCGTGGCATGGCATGGCATGGCACAGAAGCCATTACGGAAAAGAGAACGTTAGAGAGGTCTGAATAAGGTATGAACGAAATCAAGGAGGCAGGAGAAGAGAGTGTGCGAAAGAGAGGGACAGGAAAGAGGCGGAAGGGGGAGGGGTTGCGGGCAGGCTGGAAATCGTGAGTATGGGTGCGTGCGGGTCCGTGTGGTCGCATGTGCGTGTGGTCGCATGCGCGTGCGGCGTGCGTGCACGGTGGTGAAAGCCACCCACCTTGGAAATGTGGACTCCGAGGCTGCGGTGGATGCCGGAGCACTGGATGCACATGAATATGCCCAGGTTCACACTCGCCCATCGCGGCGCCCTGCGAGTCGCCCATGCGCAGACGCAGGGAGGGAAGGGGGGAGAGGAAGGGGGAGCCTGAAGGCAATGAGGGAAAAGTAGAGATCGAACGGTGCGTAAAGGAGTGGTTGTTAAGACCGTATGGGAGCAGAATGGAGAATCAGTAGGTGTGATGGCCACGTTTCAATCATCAGCATGAACAACTGGAGGGAACGATGAAACGGAGATGAAAGGAAACACAAAAGAGAAAGGTGGGGGAGAAAGTTCACGATACAGGCAGCCGAAAAAGAAAACGGTGAAGAAGAAAAGGAAAAAAAACGGAGACGCGGGTAGAGAAGACTAGAATAGGAAAGGGCTCACTTGCAGTGACAATCAGCACACTCTCTGTTTTCCTGAAGCTTCAATAGGCCGTCCAAAATCTGATCACAAGGATCATATGGCGAGTTGGGAAAACACGGAGAAGTTAACACATACGCCAGACAGTCGATGAGTAACATATCTCCAAAACGCTTAGGGTTGCTCGTGAACTGGATCATACACGCACAGCGACTACAATGGGTGGAGTGTGGCAGCTTTCGTAAGGAGAAAGCATGTTCTTATGAGGTGGAAAGTGCTGGTCATGAAATCAACGGTACCAGAGTGGACAATGAAGGCTGACTGGCGAAATGGTTACCTTTTTGTGACGATCATTCTGCTCCTTCGTCACAGCCGATTTCTCGTTCAAACCCATACAGGCAAAATAATCTGAACCCAAACCACTCCTAATCAGAAATTAGCTTGACGTTCCGAACGATTTTCCACGTCCCGTTCTGTAACTCCGCTTCCTACGCAGGTGTGAGGCGGACGCACTGACAGTTATGGCGGTATGTCAGTCACACGATCGGCGTAGGCGCAACTGTCACGTGACTGGACTTAGAAAGAAAATTGAGTTCTCAATGTTGAAGCAAGAAAACCGCTGCTACAAGCGTGAAAGACTTTGCGTCAGCTAGGGGTAATAGGTGCGTCAATGAAAGGGGAAGGGTTAGCCCGAGCAGCACGTGCCACAGGAGATGCCAATTCCTGAACTAGGAGCCACCAAAATCGTGTGAAGGTGCCGCCAAGGTGGTGCAGAAGTTGGTGAACTGTACTATTGCGTGTGGCCTGGGAGGGATATGTCTGTCTTCGCTGCCAGTTTCCTGAGCGCGGTTGCCGCTGTTTTTGTTAGGTGATTTATGGCTTGGATCGGTTGGGTTGGTTTCCAGATATTGTAGTGGGTGGTTGCTGCTGTTTCACTGGTAAACCGGCGGCGGTTGAGAGTGATTGAGTGGTGGTGATGTCGCGCGCGCTCCTCGGTGGTGTTCCGCTGATGGTTTGAGTTGATTCCGCGTGTCGATTCCGCCATTCGCTCCGTTCAACTCCGCGCCAGCCAGTCATCGACCACTCCGCAGATGCGCTGGGGATGACGAGAGGGGCGGAACAGAAGGGGACGGGTCACGGTACGGGAGGGGTGTGACACTTGACACAATGCAACAAGCAAGCGCAGGGATTGGTTGGGGGCTTGACAGGGGAAGAGTGACAAGCGATGCGGACGCCAGAATTGCAGAGAAGAAGCCGTGTGATTGGTTGGACGGATACGCGGTTGCCTCACCTCAAGCCGGGCCGTTCCAAACCTGCGCAGTTGAGGGTGTTGGTTTGGGGGGACGAGGGTGACGTTTCTGGCCATGTTTCAACGCGTTCAAACGGTGTCACGCAAAAGTCGTTGCTATAACGGTGGTGTCTAAAGAGAGCCTTGTGGCCAAATATCATCGTGCGATTCGTTGAGGGTGAGGTGAGGAGGAGCGTACAGCGGTGGCCAAGGGGTTGGTGGTGGTGGGGAGCGCGGCGGTTTCGTCGAGGGTGCTGTTGATTGGCGTGGCGGTTTTGGCTGGGAGGAGAGTTCCTCTGCTTCTCCGTTGGCGTTGCAGTATTCACACTAGACGCCACGCAACCTACGCTTATACACAATATCGGATAGCTCTTCGAAAACAAATTTTACAGCATGGCATGGGACATGGATGTTGCTGCAGCACCCACATAACATATACCTGCACAAATGATGCGGAATCGACCGTCCCCATTCACTGCTTCGGCCGGCCACCACGGCCAAACCAGACCAAGGCCCCGCCCGCCCGCACAAGCTGAGGCTGGTCTGACCAAGCCGAGCTAGCACGTACCGAGCCGAACCTAGCCGAGCCCAAACCACAGCAGCACAGCCGAGTCGAGCCCACCCTTCAGGCGCCAACACAAAATTGTGATCCCGTGGAAGGAGGAAGGGAAGCCATGAGCTGATTCCATTTCCCATGGATCTGCAGCAGGCTATGCATCAAAGTAAACATACTTGAGATGAAACATCACTCTGGTGTGTGAATGAGGAAAGAAATCTACTCAATCGCGACATCTCCTTTTTTTCTGGCGATTCAGGCGCCCGCGTTCTGCTCGTCTTATGACAGTAGCAACCCAGATCAGGCATCGAACCAGAATTAGCGAATCTCCCTTCTGTCAGTTGCTCCAATACCTTATCGTCTCATCGTCGATCCCATTTTCCATCGCGCACGTCGCGTCGTCGCCGTTGTCTCTGTCTTCGCATCACCGGATAGATCCTTTCTGAACGGCTTAAAGAAGACGCATCCCCGTTAAGAGCTTGTCAACATGTGGCGATTGAAGCACATGATGGGTCTGGAGGGTCACCAAAGCCCGGGGGGAAACCAGACCGCGGGACCGTTGGAAGGCAAGGCTGTGGAGGTGGGTCGCGTTCAAGTGCAGGTTCGCTCCACCATCGCTCAAGGCGGCTTCGCCTTCGTCTACCTCGCCCGCTGCGCGCACTCGGGCCGCGCGTACGCGTTAAAGCACATCGTCTGCAGCGATCCCGATGCCATGAAGCAGATCCAGCGAGAGGTCTCAATTCTCATGGCGTTAAGAGGCCACCCCAATATAGTCACTCTCCACGCGCACGCGCTCTTAGATTCCGCCGGATCTGCCGGATTGGGGTCTGCGGGTGCGGCGGTTGCGGGCGCGGGAGGGATGGGGCACGGCGGAGCGGGTATGGGTGGGTTGGGTGGCGGAGGGATGGGCGGGAGCGGGAGTGGGCGGAAGGAGGTGTTTCTGCTGATGGAGCATTGCGAGCGGACGCTCGTGGATGTCATGGCTGCGCGGGGGACGACACCGTTTGACGAGAAGACGCTCCTGCTCACGTTCCGTGACGTGTGCAACGCCGTGTTCGCCATGCACTGCCAGCACCCGCCCGTCGCGCACAGGTCCGTCCCCGCAACCCGCTCCGCGTCATCGTCATCGTCATCGTCATCGTCGTCGTTGTTATTGTCGTTATCGTCATCGTGATGGTCGTTTGCCTCCCCACTGGTCCACTCCAACTCCCCTCTCCTCTTTCCGCTCCTCCGTCCTGAATTTCTTACCCTCACCCCCCCAACCCCCATAACCTCCGCTTTCACGCCTCTCCTAGGCCTTCCCCTTTCCTGCTCCTCCAATTTCTCTCTTTCCCCCACCCTCAAACTTCCCACTCTTCTGTGATCCCTTCAATTCCGCGCTCCCTCCGCGTTTCCCGCGCTCCTCGCTCCCCCGCTCTCCCGCCCTCCTGCCCTCCCCGCGCGGCGCAGGGACCTGAAGGCGGAGAACTTGCTGCAGTGCGGCGACGGGTCGTGGCGGCTGTGCGACTTCGGCAGCGCGAGCACGCGGCACCGGCGCATCGAACGCGCGGAGGACATGGGGTTGGAAGAGGACGTGATCCGGCGCAACACCACCCCCGCCTACCGCGCCCCCGAGGTACGGGGGAGGCAGGGGTGTGGGGGGAAGGGGGGGATGGGGGGAGAGAGGAGGGGATGGGGAGGAGCGGCGGGAGATATGAAAGGGGGAGAGGGGGAGGGGAGTGGATAGGGAGTGTTGGGTAGAGGGAGGGAGAGTAGGGGAGTCGTGTGGAAGGGACGGAATCGGGAAGGCACGAAAGGGGCGATGGGTGGTGGCGCGCTGATGGGGTGCAGGATAGTGATGAGGTAGCACGTGTCAATGAAACTCACCCCTTACTCCCTCTCGAAACACACTCACACGCATGCACACACACACACACACACACACACACACACGCGCCGCGCGCGCGCAAACACACACAAAAATGTGCACGTTAATCAATCCTCAAGCGATGCACGATGCGTCATCCCGTTGTTTCCTTGGCCGCGTTCTGCACTCATCGCAATCCACCCCACCCCCATCCTGACCCACGGTGCCCCATCAAACAACAGCTATGGGACCTCTATCAAAAGGAAATGCTCAGTGAGAAGGTTGACATATGGGTATGTTCCCCACCACCTCAACCTTTGCCCTTTCCACAGCTTGCCCTCTTCATATGGGTATGCTGATCAACTCACCAACTCATCCCGTCAGCTTGTTCTTTCCACCTTTCTCCTCCACTTCATCCTTCAACCCTACCTCTTGCCCCTTCCATGCACGCACCCCCCTCAACACCCTTCCCGATGTTTTGTTCTGCACATTTATTTTCTCTCTCTGGTTGTTGCTCGAGAGACACACGCTAGATTTCTCCCAAATATTCCGCCTGCAGCCTCCTGCCTTGTTTCTGGTTCTTTCCATGCATGCAAGAATTAACACATCTGCATCTGCCGGAGCAGACACACCTGCCCATCACCTCATCTCCGCGTCGGCTCATCCACTCCTCGTCCATTTCCTTCCCACTCCTCTCTTCCGCCTCGCACCCATAGGGTCCTGCCCCTCACCCTGCGTCCCAAAGCCTCTGCGCTCCTGCCTTCCCCCATTCCCTTAACCGGCCTCCCCTCCCCTCCGCCACCAGGCGTTGGGGTGCCTGCTCTACCGCATGGCCTACTTCCGCTCCGCGTTTGACGGCGAGTCCAAGCTGCAGGGAACTGCTTTCTGAGGCGCCTAAACATGCCTGCACCGCACCCCCCCTCCCGCACCCCCCCTCCCGCTCTCCCCCTCCCGCTCTCCCCCGCCAGGCCCTTGGGTGCCTGCTCTACCGCATGGCCTACTTCCGCTCCGCGTTTGACGGCGAGTCCAAGCTGCAGGTGCTGAACGGGCGCTACAGCATCCCCGAGACGCCGCGCTACTCCCCCGCCGTGCCCGCGCTCATCCGCGACCTCCTCGCCATGCAGCCCCACTGCCGCCCCGACGTGCTGCAGGTGGGTGGGTGAGGGCAAGTGAGGGGAATGGGGGGTGGTGGGAGCGAGTTGGGGAGCGTGGCGGCGAGTGGGGGAGAGTTGCGGGAGAGTGGGGGAGAATGGGGATGCGTGGGACCGCGTGAGGGGGCGCATGGGGGAGAGTGGATACGGCTTGACAGTTGCAGTGCCACTGCTGTCTAGCTGCTTCTCTAGACTGGATGTTCGTTGCTCCTTGTTGCTCCTTGCATTGCAATGCTTCCACGCATACCCCCTAACAGCCCCTCTCCCAACCCCCCTCTCACCCGCCCTCCCATCCTTCCGTCCTGCTGTCCTTACTCGCTCGTTAGGTCAACCTTCCGTTCCTCCTCATCCTCCTGCTCCTCCCCTCCTTCCGTTCAATCCACCTGCCATCCTCCCTGCTCTGCCTTACTGCCTCTTCGTTCTCTCTGCTTTGTCTTTGCTCTGTCTTCGCTTGTGCACCAGGTCTGGCGCCGGGTGAACGAGCTTCTGCCACCTGAGATGCGCAAAGCCAGCCCAGACTGGCCCCCGCTAACGCCCAAACCCACCCCAGGTCCTGCAGCCTCCGCGGTTGGGCGCAGACCCTCCTCCCCTTCGCCGCAGCACCTACAGCAGCAGCAGCAGCAGCAGCAGCAGCAACGGAGAGAATCTGCACCAGACATAAACGCAGCTCCTGCTGCATCTGCAGCCGGAGGGGCAGCAGGGACGTTCTGGGCCAACTTTGACTCATTTCCAACCACTCAGGCGGGATCATCAGGTAGTGCTGCAGCACCTGCACCTCCTGCTGCTGCTGCATCTTCCTCCGTTGCAGCAACCTCTGCAGCTGCCTCTGCTGCTGCTGCTGCTGCTGCTGCTGCTGCTGCTGCTGCTGCTGCTGCTGCTGATGCAGGTGCTAGCAGCAGGCCTTCTTCTGGCAGAGTGTCTGTGGGCCCTGCAGAGAGAGAGATTGAGAGAAGAGCAGAGGAGGAGAGGAGAGGCAGCAGCTCTGCTGATGCTGCTCTTCCTGGTGCTGCTGCTAATGCTGCAAGCGCAAGTGCTGGGGCTGGGGCTGGTGTTGATTTAGACGGTTGTGAGCAACGCAAGACACCCGGTGCTTCAAAGTCATCATCACCACCAGCAGCAGCAACAGCAGCAACAGCAGCCGCGGCGGCTGCAGCAGCAGCATCCCCGCAACGATCGCCACCGCGGTCGCGACTGGCGGCAGGAGCAGAGGAGGTGGAGCGGCTGCGAGGGGAGCTGCAGCGGGTGATGCTGGAGCGGGATGAGCTGCGTGTGACTTGCAACAAGCTCACTCTCGTGGTGCAAACCCAGCAGGCAGACATCGCTGCTCTGCAGGCCGCACTGGCCCAGCAGCAGCAGCAGCAGAGTGGAACCAGCAGGGGCAGTACTGCTGATGTGCATGAGTCTAGTGCCACTCGCCGTGCTACTGGTGGTGCAGGGGCTGAGAAGAATGATGCGGTGAGCGGCAGTGGCGGTTCTAGGAGCCAGACGTGTGAGAGGCTCAGGAGTGGAGAAACAGGGGGCATGGGGCAGGGGAAGAGCGAGGAGGAGATTGAGATAAGGCTGCGAAAGAGGGGGGAGCAGGAGGGGGATGGGGAGGGGGAAGGGCAAGGGGAGGCGGAGAAGGTGATCAATTTACGGTTTGAGGACATAGGCAGCCCTGTGCCTGTCTCTGATGAGTCTCTCAAGCGAGATGGAACCCACAAAGGTGGAAGCAGCAACAATAGCCGCAACGGCGGTGGCAGCAGCAGCAGCAGCAGCTGGAGACGGGCGTCAGCTGGTTCTGGTGCCTCAGGCGCTGGTGCTGCTTCTAAAGCTGCTGGTTCACAAGGAGCAGGAGCGGCAGCAGCAGCAGCAACAGCAGCAGGTGAGGCAGCCTATCGACGTAACTCCTCTCCAGCCCACCACACCACTGTGCAGTCCTCCTCCCCATCTAAAGCTCACCTGCGACAGACACTGCACCAGCAGCACCACCACCACCAGCAGCAGCAGGAGAAGGAGCAAGGGTACTGGCAAACCTATGGCAGTGCATCCTCCTCTGCTTTACCTTCTGCTGCCGCCCCTGCAGCAGCGGACCTAGGAGGATCCTATTCTGGAGCTTCTGCTAGCTTTAGCAGCAGTGGTGGTAGAGGCAGTGTGAGCAGACCACGTTCTCCTCTCCCCCACCAACAGTCTGAGAGTTCTAACAATGCTCCGGGCAGTGCGCCGGGCAGTTGGAAGGAATCGGGTGTAGGTGGTTGTGGCACTGGTGCTGCTGATGCTGGTGGTAGCTCGTGCGGTGGAACCGCTGGGGGTGGGCATGGGTGGGAATCATTTGGTAGTGGTGGTGGTGCTGGTGCGGGTGGTGCCTTTTCTGCTTCTGGTTTCGAGTCCTCTCAACCCCAGCACCTGCAGCAACAGCAGCAGCAGTACGCATCTGCTGCTTCCGCAGCACAGGGTTTCAGCCAGCCTTCTGGCTGGGCTGCATTTTAGGAAGGATCCGTATCGTTGCTCTCTAACCAGAGGTTATGTAATGAGAGAGACATGGGTAGCATGCGCATATTTTGCCTTGGGCTGGAGAACTAGTCTGGTTGAATTGTAGTCAATTGACAGCCTTGTGATGGTCTTTGTAAGGGTATGCATTATGGAATGTGCAAATTTCTAGCGACAGAGAAGCGAAGAAAGGCTTGATTGGATGTTGTAACGAGATTTGCCGAACGGTCCCACAGAAACTCGAAGTCCAGGGATCTTACGCAGCGCACGGTGTGCACTGTCGCTCTGTTCAAACATAAGGTATATTTGAAGTCGCAACGTTGTCAATGAGAAATCGCGGCGCCATGTGCGGCGGCTCGGGCTCCACAAGAAATTGTTCCACCTGCGAAAGCACCGCCTCGGTACAGTGGCTGCCTGAATGAACCCAATTTCCTCTCCCAGCCGAGCAGCCCCCAAAGTGGTTTCCATTCCCTGACTCCGAGAGCCGTCTATCCCTTTTCACACACAGAATCTTAGGAATCAAAACCACAGCAATAGCCACTAGTACTATCAGCATTTATTTCTTTCAGAATCAGGGGTTCGTATGGCAAATCAGAGTCGTTTTCCCAAGATGGCGGTACAAAGGATAGCAGCTCTCCTCGCAACTTGCTTTCTGCTCGTCCCAGCCGTCTTCGCAGGTGCCTCCAGCGAGACTTTCGTCGGACGAAACACTCGATGCGGTTGTCGATCGAGCAGACTGGGAAAAGCCGTCTCACTTTCGCTTTTCCGCTGTTGCACGTCGCCGCGGCACTTCGCTTCCCCACTATGCTCGCCCTTTTATTTCTCCCCGTTGCCCCGTTCCCTCCTCCCTTTGCTCCTCTCTTCCCCCTTTCCCCGCTCCTCTCTTCCCCCCTTCCCTCGCTCCCTCGTTCCCCACCGCCAGAGGCCTTGAGCACCGAGAGCCTTGCGTACCTCAACGCGCATAATAATGCCCGCGTCACCCTCGCCATCGCGCCGCTCAAATGGAATGCGTCATGTAAGCCGCCTCCCTCGCGCATCCCTTCCCGCCCGCCAAATGCGCCCTTCGTCGTGCGCGCCCCGACTGCCGCGCATCTCCCGCGAATCTCCTGTGTCCGCGCGCACTGCACCGGCTCTGAGCCTTCGCTCTCCGCTTCAAAGAAGTCATTTACACCTTTCTCTCCGCTTCCCCTCCCCTCTTCTCGGCCGGCCCCCCATTCACCCCCTTTTTTCCCCCTTCCCCGTTTCTCATTTCCCCCTCTGCCCGCAGTGGCGCAGAGCGCGCTCTCATGGGCGAACGCATTGGCGATTAAGAGCGCGTGCAAGGTGATCGAGTTCGACGAAAGCAGGCGTGGCACGGTGGGCCAGAACCTCTACGCGGGCTGCTGCGGAGTCAAAACCGCGGACGCTGTGCAGGCGTGGGTGAAGCAGAGGAAAGACTACCAGCGCGGGAAATTCCCTGACTTGTGCCAGAAGCAGTGCGGGCAGTACACGCAGGTGGTGTGACGGAACACCAAGTCGGTGGGGTGCGGTCGCGTGGATTGCTCGAATGGATGGATGGTTTCGGTGTGCAATTATTACCCGCCTGGTAACTACATCGGGCAATACCCCTATTGACAGACGCAGTAAGGGGTAAATCAGATCAACACCGGGTTTACAGCGACTTGAGACTACTCGTGTCGCGTATAAACACGTGTGCGTTCTACTTCGTGCAGGAAAGCTTTACAGGCTGCTTTGATGGACAGGCCGAAGGGATTGGCCAGTGCATTGTATATAGAGTGCCCTCTCTATGACTGGTATTCAAGTACATCCCATTTATCTGGCAGTTGATATAGTAGGTGTGCAGCTTTCAGATTAGATGCATAACTTCAAGCTTACTACCTAACACAGTATATCTGATCTGACGGCGAACAGAAGGTCGCAAAGAAGCACAGCAATCAAGTCACGAGCCGTAGATGGTTGAAAATTGAAGGAAAGCCGAGGTCGGGTCAGGGCCTCAATTTATCTTGTATTGGCTAGGCCACTGCACGTGATGGTGATGCATGCATCGCTCGGCAATTTCCCGATCCTTCATGAATCATTGGCCATGCACCATGCATCACCAGCCGTACTTGGCATGCGTCTCGGCCTTGCTGAGCATGCCCTTGGACCGGCGCTCTACCAGTTCCGTCTCTTTCTGCCGCATGTCAAAGTAGAGTGAGCCTATCTGGTGCTTGCGCCGATGCATCTTGGACGGCTTGTTGCCCCCCACCGACACCGGCTGCGATGCAGGGAGGGAAAGGAGGGAGAAGAGGAAGAGAGGGAGGAAAGGGAAGGAAATGGGGGGCATGCAGGAAGGCAGGCAGGCAGAGAGGGACGTACTGAGAATAACATTCCTCTTCTCCACAGTATGGTACACTCCTCGAATGTAGCCTACTCTCACAATGTTTTTGCAAACCACCACAAGCATACTAGCATCGACCCCAAAGGTTTAGCAAATGCTTGGCACGAGGATGATATACATTACTTTCAATATCAACGAGGGGAAGGGGAAGATGTTACATTGTGAGGGTTGTCCTTTGCTCTAGCTGTTGAGGGGAAGCAGGGAGGAGGGAGGGGGGAAGCAGGGAGGAGGGAGGGGGGAAGCAGGGAGGAGGGAGGGGGGAAGCAGGGAGGAGGGAGGGGGGAAGCAGGGAGGAGGGAGGGGGGGAAGCAGGGAGGAGGGAAGGGGGAAGCAGGGAGGAGGGAGGGGGGAAGCAGGGAGAAGGGAGGGGGGAAGCAGGGAGAAGGGGGGGGGGAAGGAGGGAAGCAGGGAGGAGGGAGGGGGGAAGCAGGGAGGAGGGAGGGGGGAAGCAGGGAGAAGGGAGGGGGGAAGCAGGTGAGGCAAAGGATAATAGATTGGGCCCTTCAACCTCTGTCTCTCCACCTGTGTCCTTCCCCCTCTGTCTCCCCCACTCGGCCCTTCACCCTCTGTCTCTCCACCTGCGTCCTTCCCCCTCTGTCTCTCCCCCTGTCCTCCCCCCTGTTCCTCCCCCCTCTGTCCTGCCCCCTCCCCCCCTTGTCCTTCTTGTTCTGCCCTTCCCATCTCCCCCGCCCGTTCCCTTCCTGTCCCCCGCCCATCAATCATTCGTTCACTATGACACCATCCCCCCCCTCAGCTGTCCATCCCCCTCTGTCCCTCCCGCTCTGCCCATGACATCAGTATGCACTCAATGCGGCTGGAAGGAGCGAGGGCGTATGGGGGAGTTGCTACACACTGTTCTACGGAAGATCGCGAGTGAATGGTTGAGCGCGTGACGAGGGGAGGAGTGCGCGTCACGAGGGGAAACGCGCGTGACGAGGGGAGGAGAGCGCGCAACGAGGGGAAGCGCGCGTGACGAGGGGAGGAGAGCGCGCAACGAGGGGAAGCGCGAGTGACGAGAAGGCACGTGCTCGACGAGCGGAAATGCGCGCGACGAAGGGAAACGCGCGTGACGAAAGGAAACGCGGGTGACGAAGGGAAACGCGGGTGACGAAGGGAAACGCGGGGGACGAAGGGAAACGCGGGTGACGAAGGGAAGCGCGGGGGACACGGGTGACGAAGGGAAACGCGGGTGACGAAGGGAAGCGCGGGGGACGAAGGGAAACGCGGGTGACGAAGGGAAACGCGGGGGACGGAGGGAAACGCATGACGAGGGGAGGCATTCTATCCCGTGCAGGCGCGAGAGACGAGGGCAGGCGCGGGTGGCGAGGACGGGCGCGGGTGACGAGGGGGAGCGCGGGTGACGACGCGCGCTAAACGTGGGGTAGCATGGTGAAGCACTCGTTTGTCTCACACGTTCTGTGTGAGTGACGCGAAAACGTATGTAAATATCGACAGCGACACTAGGCTTGCGCTGCCCAGCTATTGGCGAGACAGCATGAGTGACGTGAGTTGCCGTAGAAAACGCGATCAAGGGAACTAGCTGATGCCGCACTGGCTTCCTACTTACGTGAGGAACTAGCCTGGTCATGAGTACTACTACTCGTTCAAGATATGTGAGAGCCAAACAGCGGGCCAACCTGAGCGACGTTCGGTTCTGTTTTGCGATTGTGCACAAAAGCCAATGAGGAGAGAGTGTCGCTAGGCGTTGTCCCAGAGTCGCGAGAGTTCTGTCAAACAAATTAGGGTAACCATGTTTTTGACGATTTCAAGTTCAAGAATCTTGAACTTGAAAATAACCATGCTGTACTCGGGCTCTAACTGCATCCAAGATGGCATGATAAGTTTATATAAAGCTCGTAACCATGTACAGCAAAGCATAGAGCAGCTAGAGATATGGTCTACACAAACCAAGCGCCCAAAGGCGTACGTAGGAAACACGTTATCTCCATATCCTACGGATAACCACCAGCACGGCTGGGGAGCTCTCTATGCCAAAAAAGGAATGCCTAAGGGGGGCGAAAAGGGTCGTCAAGCAGCCAGGATGCGCGGAGATCAGGGTGAATAGAAGGGGTGCCGTCATGGTAAAAAACGAGGAAGCGAGATTGAGTGGCCAGCTTGATACGAGCGGCTGAGCGTCGTTGATTTTTCACTGATTGTTTCTTCCTTCGCCAGAAAGATTTTGAACGAAATGAGGAACTTCTCAGAATAGGAATGCAACGGAATGGATGAAACTAGGAAGTGTGGAAGTACAAATATGCAACCCTAACAACTGTACTCCCTATTGTGCTACTCACTGTAGCCTACAAGCATAGAATTACATTTGACACACCCCCATAGGCTAAGTGAGGGGCATCAAAGCTAGCAAGGTGAACAAACAGTCACAAGACCAGTCAAAGCAAGAAACAAGGCAAGCTCAGGGTGGATCTCAAGGACACCACACAAATTCCGAGCGCAAGCAAGTGGCCACAAGGCTAGTTCAAGTGTTCACTAGGATATAAATAGGAAGCACAACAAGTAGAGCAAACAAAAAGACTACAGCAACCGAGGGCCTACCTCAACAAGCCCCAACTGCACACAGAAACTGTGGTGATCACCAAGCGCCAAGGCCTTGGTGAAGACGTCTGCAGTGTTGGCCTCTGAGGCCACAAAGTCCAGGCGTGCCTGGCCGCGTCGCTGCAGCTCTCGCAGAAGGAAGTACCTCATGTCAATATGCTTCACTCTGCTCTCCAGTCGAGGCTCTCGACACAGGAGGATCATGGCCTTGTTGTCAGCGTACAAGGTCGGTGCAGAGCGAGGCCGCTCACCAAGGTCGGCGAACAAGAAAGTCAACCAGCGAAGCTCCTGTGCCGCCATGGCACCAGCGTAGATCTCTGCCTCTGCACTGGAAGTAGCCACAGACGATGACCGTGTAGACCTCCACGACACAGCACCAGCTCCCAGACTGAAGCAGTAACCCTGAGTCGAGCGCTGAGTCTCCACGTCGTCAGCGTAGGAAGAGTCGCAGTGACCAGTCAACGCCACTGGCTGAGTCCCTCCAAGCACAAGCCCCATGCCTGATGTAGTCGCCAAGTACTTCGCCACCCTCACAGCAGCTGTCCAGTGGACAGGGCGGTGTCTCCCAGTCGCAACAAAGCGAGAAAGGATGCTCAGGGGAAAGGCGAGGTCCGGTCGAGTACAAGTCATCAGGTACATGAGGCAGCCCACCAGCTCTGCGTAGGGTCCACTGGACTCGAAGGGCTCGTCAGGAAAGGGGCCCGTGAGTCTGTGGTCAACAGCAAGAGGAGTGGGCTGTGTGGTGGAGAACTGGAAGTCGAACCGCCGAAGGACCTGCTGCACCATGTGTGACTGCGTCAGTGTGATGGTGCGAGCGGCTCTGTCCCGGGTGATCTGCAGGCCAAGGTAGCGCTGCAGCTCACCCAGGTCAGTGCACTTGTGTCTCTTCTGCAGTTCGGACTTTACCTGAGCCAGGGCTGCCCTGTCAGCTGTAGCAAACACCAAGTCGTCGACGTAGACAAGGATAAAGAAAGGAGTAGAACCCGCTCGAACAAACAGCGACGGGTCGGCGGAGGACGGGCTGAACCCAAGGTCACGAAGCGTGGAGCGAAGAGTGTCGTGCCACTCACGGGGCGACTGACGGAGACCGTAGACTGGTCGCCTCAGGCTCCACTGGGTCCCAGGTGGGAAGGTGTCAGTGAAGCCAGGAGGACGGCGCAGCCAGATCTCCTCGTGCAGTCGGCCCTGGAGGAACGCAGTGGAGAAGTCGAGGGAGTGCAGCTCGTAGTCTCGCTGCGCTGCTATGTGGAGTAACACCCGAAGAGTAGTCATCTTCGGGGTCGGGGCGAAGGTCTGGAAGAAGTCAACTCCCTCACGCTGACTGAAGCCCCTAGCCACGTAGCGCGCCTTGAACACCGGCGGTGCTCCAGGCGGCCGCTTCACCTTGAAGAGCCACATGCCATCGACTACGTTCGCCCTGGGAGGGGGAACTGCGTCGACGTAGGTGCCTGTGGATCTCCAAGACGCCAAGTCTGAGTCCATAGCCGCTTTCCACTGAGAGGCCCACGCCCCTGACACTGCCTCGCGGTAAGTGCGAGGAGTCGGTATGTCAAGGGCGTCGGGGTCTCCCTCAGGGGAGAGCAGCATGGCACACACAGAGGGAGAAGCGGCTGCCCAGTACTCCAGCTCAGACTCTCTGTCCTCTAGGACGTCACAGCCAAGGGCAAACCCACCCCCGACGGACAGAGGACGGTAGGGAGGAGCTGGCACCACCCGGGTGGCGTAGTCAAGGCGGCTGGCGGCAGCAAACTCAGCGACAGCGGCTGTAAGAGCCGAGGCAGACGACGGAGGGAAACGAGAGTCAGTGACAAGAGTGGCGAGGACACGTGCGGCAACAGGACGAACAGTGCGGTAGTAGTCAGTTATAGGAGTGGGGAGGGCTGGGAGAGAGGACGGAGGAGGAGACGGGAGAACGGACACAGGAGAACAAGAACGACGACTGGACGAACAAAAGAGGGCAGTGTGGAGGTCAGTAATAGGGGACGAGTGACGAGCACGCGGAGGACAACGAGTGATCAAGTCGTGACGGACAGAGTGAGGAGGAGACCGAGGAGGAGGAGAAGACCAGACCGCCGGACGGTCGTCAGGAGGAGGCAACGGAGGAACAAACACAGGAAGAGACTGGGAGCGGACAGGAGGAGAGGAGGAAAGGCCAAGGGCCCACAGGCCACTCACAGGTGGGAACAACTGCCGCTCCAGAGGAAGCTGCGGTGGCGGCTGCGGCTGCTGCTGCTGCAGCGGCGACTGCGGCTGCTGCTGCTGCGGCTGCGGCTGCTGCTGCTGCGGCTGCGGCTGCGGCTGCTGCTGATGCTGCTGCTGCTGCTGCCGCTGCTGCTCCAGAAGGTCCAGCACCCGCAGCTCCTGCCGCTCCCTCTCCAACCGCTCCTGCTCCTCACGCTCACGCCGACGGGCAGCCTGGAGACGCGTGTCGTGGCGGTGGGGAGGCGGAGTGGACTCTGCAGAACCAGGGTCTCCAGCGTCAGTCGCCTCAGACTCAGCACCCCCAGAACCAGCACCTCCAGTGCCAGGACCTCTAACTCCAGCACCCCCAGAACTAGCACCGCCAGTGCCAGCACCGCCAACTCCAGCACCCCCAGAACTAGCACCTCCAGTGCCAGCACCTCCAGCTCCAGCACCCCCAGAGCCAGCGCCACCTGCGCCAGCACCTCCTGCTCCAGCACCCCGCGACCGAGCACCCCCAGACCGAGCACCGCCAGCGCTGCACCTCCAGCTCCAACACCAACCGAGTCCACAGTAACCTGTCGCGGAAGTGCCGAAGGCTGCTGAGGGGACTGTGAGGAGGACTGTGGGGAGGGAGACGCTACCTGACGCGCGACCGAGGGTAGAGGGGTAGCGTGAGACACACCAGACGGGGCAGGACCAGGGGGGGGCGGGGGTACCGGAGGAGCAGGAGCAGGAGGAGGAGAGGGTGCTAGGAACAGGGGGGGAGGGGGTACCGGGAGACCTCGACAGGGGTACCGGGTGTAGTAGGACACAGACTCGTCAAACCGGACGTCACGGGAGTCTAGGAACTGGTGGAGGGGCGGGTGGTAAAAGGACCAGTCGGCAGAGTCCACTGGGAAACCAAGGAAGACACAGGGGACGGCGCGTGCCGAGAGCTTGTCCGCGGAGGTGTCGCGAACAAGTGCAAGGCAGCCCCAGACTCGAAAGGCCGACCCAACACCAGGGGAACCAGTCCAAAGACTGGTCGGTGAAGCCTCGGGCCGCGAGACACGCGGCTGGAGGTTCAGCTGGTGTGCGGCGTAGCGAACCGCGTGAGGCCACAGAAAATGGGGCGCACGGGCATGGATCATGGACGTGCGGGCGATGTCCATGACCAGGCCTATGCGGCGCTCAGCAACCCCATTCTGCTGTGGGGACTCTGGCAGCGTCCAGGACTGGGTGATGCCCTGTTCGCCGCAGAATCCGCCGAGAATGCCGGAGCGAAACTCGCCCCCACGGTCGGAGTGAAGACAACTGACTCGACGACCACGAGTGCCCTCAGTGGCTAGAAGCCACCTGATCAGCGTAGCAGTCACCTCGGACTTCTTCGCAAGAGGGAACACGGTGGTGTACCTGGAGTAGTCGTCGACGACCACCAGAAAGTAACGCTCTCTCCCAGACCCCTGCGTCGGGGCAGGGCCCCAGACGTCCAAGTGGAGAGTCTCGAAGGGAGCGGTGGCCGGACGAAGGGAGGAGGAGTGGGGAGTGGCGCGTAAGCGACCGG